TTCTAGTTTTTTGGTTTTAACCGAGTGGAGACAGCTGATCCATCACCAGGCCTCCTGGGTCGCCCCACCCCCCCACCAGCATGCGGGTGCTGCACCGATGCATCACGGCTGGAGTTATCTAACAGGACAATGCGGTTCCACAATCTGACAAAGCTGGCAACAAAGCTCAAAGGAAACTATAGTTTGCTTTGGTTAAAACGCTCCGGCTGACTGCTCTATACTTCTTCTTCTGCTGTGTGAATTCAGGTCTCAAACTCACAAACTTTGACACGTGTCTCACCATTTTGTCACAAAGTCCTGGAAGTCGTTGGAGAAGACGTGGGGCAGTTTGGGTGGCGGCTGAGGAGGAAGCAAAAGCCGAGCATCAGTCATTTTAAACGCCTTTGACTTTAAATCAAACGTCTGACCACAGATCTGTTATTTCTCACACCTCGTTCACGATGTAGTCCAGGAGCTCGAAGATGGCCATGGCCGGTCGGCTGTCCACCCCGTGTCCTGTGGACGACATCACATCAGATTGCAAACCAGACAAGCTTTATCTATTATATCTCACAATTTTATTATTATATGTCCAATTTATCCAACTTATCTTATTTATGTCTATAGACTTAGACTTAGACTTCCTTTATTGTCATTGCTCAAAAACACGAGGTGAATTTGAAAACAAAATGTCGATTACTTGGCTACCAGTGTAACAGCTAAGACCTTATACCATGCACAATAAATATATGTATTGTATTCTATAACTAAGCGCTAAGCGTAAAGAATTATATTTATACATATACAGTGGGGGAAATAAGTATTTGACCTCTTGCTGATTTTGCAGGTTTGCCCACTTACAAAGAATGCTTATTTTTCCTCATCAGATGATTATACATTTTTATAAATTCATATGATGTGATTTTCTGGAATTTTCTTTGGGATTCTGTCTTTCACTGTTAGAATATACATATGATTAAAGTTATATATCGTTGCATTCTTTGTAAGTGGGCAAACCTGCAAAATCAGCAAGGG